GCGCACTTTCATTCAGGCTGGCTGTGCATAGCCTTCAGGGGGGTCTGGGAGGTGCTATAGAAGAGAGAGCCAGCTCGTTCCTTCCACACAGCTTTGTAACAAATTTCTTGGACTTCCTCCATGCTCGGCCTGTGGGTGAGGACGAAAGCATACGACCTGATGGAATGGATCCACAAGGCGCGAGGGCGGCATGCTGCGTGAACTGCGCAGAAGGACTCTGTCGTGCACGACGCAAGAGAACAACAGTTCATAATATTTCCGACCGCGTGGACCCGCGTGGACGCGCGTAGACCCGCGCCACACAATGACTGGGCCATCGTTTTCTGACAGATTGGACCCCAATGCGCGCAAGGACCGACGTACGTAAGACCGCGCAGGGCCCGCATGGTCTCGTGTCTTTCATGGCCTCGCCGCGACGCAGACATTTTCTACTTGAATCCGCAAAGCCTACGCAGGCCCAGGTGGAGCACCGCTCCGCCGTTCGCTTAGAGACGTCATTCTGATGCTGGGTTGTCACAAGGAATGTAAGACTAAGCTGTCATAAATCCATTGCAATTGGGAACAATCCACAGCCGGACTTCTAAGCACTGAGTTCTCAATCGAAATCCTGTCTCAAGTTCCGTCCAACATGCTGCGACTGTCGATTTGTGTAGATAAGTTGGAGTCGAAAGACAGGATCATTCTTCCTTTGGGAATATGCACATGATCCACGCCATACAAAGGACAGTGTCGTGGACGCAAGAGAACAAGACACAAGAAGAATGGTTTCCACTTAGCGTCAGTCATAATTCAACTTTGAACAGAGTTCTGCGACTGTGGAGGAACGTGCAAGACAGATTCACGCTGCTTCCAGAGCTCCCCAACAAAGCTCCTGCAAAGACGGATGTTGGGGGAGCTGTGCTCCACTTACTTCTAAGAAAGTACCGGATAAACTGTTTTGGACGGGTCGTTTGAGCCTCTCGGGGCGACAGACGGGTCCACGTGCTTACGCGCTGTTATTTCACCATTGTTAGCAAATCCAAGAATATTCCGTCGAAATTTCCAATTATTCATCAATATGTCAATATCTCATAAGCTTGACATGTGACGGCTGAATACGCTCCTGAAGAGCCTCCGGGAGAAAAAGAAGTCAAAGCACGATAGTTCCGGCTTCCGCTTGTCGGAATGCAGGATATCTTAAAACTCTTTTAAACTTTGCCCATGCATGCACCTTTCCAAATGCATAGTTCGAGTCAGGTGCAGGAGTTGTGTTCTCCCCCAGCCTTCTGCAAGGCTGAGGTGATTCTCTGAAGCTGCGTCTGGTCTGCTAATGCAGTGTGCAAAGTTAAGGATTCGTCCACGGAGGACTTTATATATGAGTGCAAGAAAGTCATGGTAGAATGCTAGCATGCAGACTTTTTGTATGATGCTTCCGTACATGTATTTCATTGGAGATTTCCGGGCAGGTGACTTTTCCGCTGGGTCGAGCAGTTCGGTCCAGTTCACTGTTGCCGATGGTTGTGAAGCTGCAAGCGCAGTGCAAGGAATGCTGGCACAAAAAGTCATAAACGCCAATTTTTTTCCGGCTCCAGCGATGTTTTTTTACCCCAAAATTGTGGACTGTTTGCGTTTCATTATGTTACGTTATGTACATTACTTGAAGCATGCGGAATGGTGACTCCCTCAGGACCATAATTCGGAAGATTTCCGTGTGGTAGTCAGGGGACGAGATCCAGGACGCAATTCTGGAGAAGATTCAGCCGGTGCGTAACACGAGCCATCCCAGGCAAAAAGCTCTGCTCAAATCAGGTGATGGTATAGGCTGTTGGCCAGTGCTGTGCCAACAACTTGTTAAAACGTCGGCATGAGCTGGTTACAGTTCTTTTGTGTAACGAATGTTGATACCGTCAATGTTTGTAAAGCTTCAGTCGCCATTGACAAGTTATTGGCAGGCCCAGTTTGCCGGACAGTGTCATTATGCGTTCTTGATTCAGCCGTCTTCAAGAGTTACAATGGGTTTCTTGCTATCATGGATTTGGCATTGCCGGGCGTGTGAGCCAGAGCAGAGGATATTTATTGACAGCGCGTGGACACAGACTGTACGCCTGATTTTTTTTTGCTGGTAGCCATTTCGCTGCAAGGTATCCAAACTAAAATTCCGAATTCAGGAGCAAGTGCAAGACGTCACCATACATCACCCAGTGTTGTTCGTGTCAATTATTTTCCACCATTTACATTTAAGTTCCATGAAAAGTATTGATGTTGCGCAGAAACGTGAAAACTATAAACATTGTGAATTGAAATAATGAAAGTGAATGTATTTTCGTAAGTGGTGTCCAATGATGCCATGAGCTGTCGGGGCGATGAGTGGCACCTGGTTGAGGCCTTCATGATCAAATTATTGGTGGCCTTTTTGCAGTGTGCGGGTTCGACGGGATGCGACTGTTCCAGATGTAATTTGTGAACTGAGAGTCTGCAGGCATGTATGATTTTTTCATTGTCTGTACGAGTGTCATTATTGCGGTTTCTAGCGCTATGGCTTTCTTCACAAGTGTTCTATCGGTTAGCATATGCTTATTACTAGCAGTATGCTTTGCAGTAGTGTTGTATTATGAGTTTGTGTACTGCAGGTACAGTGGAAGCAGCTTCCTGCGGCAACGTTTGGCCTTGTCGACGGTTACCGGCCGCCCAGTCGTCATCACCGACATCCGGTTAAAGGCATCCAGCTTTTAATGGTGACGGGGTGCATCGATCATTGGGGTTCAGGTATTGAGATTTGAGGTGTAACACGCATTGTTTTGTCGTGTCGTGCGAAGCTTGCTGGTGCTTTCAGTTGCTGTTCAACCTGGTGTATTTTTTGGGTGGTTTGTGCCTCATGCCGATTGGAATATTTTGGAATCAGGCGGAATGTTGCTTAACGACATAGAGGAGCAGTTTTGCTTGTACCCGTAATTGGGTCATAGGACTTGTTCGGAAGAAAACGCTGCATTTGGGGTGATCTTTCAGCTTCACGTCTTTGTTGCCATCTTTCAGAATTTGTCGAAGTGTTCAGCCAGTTCTACTTTTGAAAATTAGACACGGTGCCCAAACAGCCGGAGATCAGTTTCACAGTGATATAGGAAGCCCCGTTCGCATGTGACAAGCACCACTGCCATTAAAGGTGAACGAGTAGAATTTGTTGTTCATGACCGTCCCATTGTTGTTGTTCTTTTCGTGTCGGTTTCAGCAGTGCCACAATCAAAATGTTCATGGCACCGCTGGTTGTGGTGGTGCTGGTGGTGTTGGTGGTGGTGGTGCCGCTGCTGCCGCCCCTGCTGCTGGTGTTAGCCACTGTGATGCCTGCATGAATATAATGTGGGGGTTATCTAGGGGGTTACATAGGGATAATGGAAAAGAACATGGAAACTACTATAATGGATAACTTATCACCTTGTGCGGACCTGCAGTGGTCATGTCACAGTGCGAATTCTTGCACTGATCGTGTGTGTTCTGCCAAACTACTGTAGCGCATGCCTGCAAGCAGTTGGCAGTGTCCTTGAGATTGTTGGGCACCGCCATGTAAGGCTTTTTATTGTTTTTCACCATTTTCAATGCCATTGTCCTTGTTACATTTTCTATCAATAAGTTATTAATAGAAAATGCAATGATATGATTCATAAGCCAGTGAAGTACTGGACCCTGTACTGGTACCCGTATTTCTACTTCTTGTTCTTAATCCCTGCCGCTAATGTTAAGAGTAGGATGCCTGATGAATATGTTTGAGGTCCCCCCTCATGTTAAACCCCTCCACCCAGCTAATACTAAATATGCCCAAAAACCCTAAACCCTAAACCCTGAACCCTGAACCCTTAACCCTAAACCCCGTATACCACAATGGGAGTTATAAGGGAGAGGGGATTGCGGAATCCCTAAACCCTGTACCCTATATAACCTCTACATAACCTATATTACTCTATAAACCCTCAACCCCTATTATCTTTTGGCTTCCGTGCGCAGACATCAGGATGAGGAGCCTGGCCTGAGGGACTATGAGGCCTGGAGGAGAGGTATAGGTTAGGAGGAGTCCCCTCACTGAAATAGTGACTATACGAAATAATAGGGATTATATTAAGGTCCTCTTATATTCCTATTATACCACTATTACAGGGTGGGAGGTCCTCCTAAGGTATAGGGATCTAGGGCTTAAGGTATAGGGTTTTAGGGCCTAAGGTTTAGGGTTTAGGGTTTAAGGTTTAGGGTTTAAGGCTTAAGGTGTTGGGTTTAGGGTTCCGTCCTGTGAAGGACTTAGAATTGGGGTTGAGTTACTCTTATGAGGAGATCCTGTTAC